TAGCAAGCATCGAACTTAAGCTAAAAGAATCCTTTAGGAGTCAGGAATCGCGGGGAAGAACTAAAAGCCATAAATGAAATCGAAAGAAACCCAAAGTATTTCTTCTCCTATGCCAAATCAAAATCGAGAACAACGTCCAGTATTGGGCCCCTACTTAAACAAGATGGGTCCTACACAGATGACAGCAAGGAAATGAGTGAGCTACTCAAGTCCCAATATGACTCAGTTTTTAGCAAGCCGCTAACCAGACTGAGAGTCGAAGACCAAAATGAATTTTTTATGAGAGAGCCACAAAATTTGACTAACACAAGCCTATCCGATGTTATCCTGACGCCAAATGACTTCGAACAGGCGATAAATGACATGCCCATGCACTCTGCCCCAGGGCCAGACTCATGGAACTCTGTGTTCATCAAGAACTGCAAGAAGCCCCTATCACGAGCCTTTTCCATCCTATGGAGAGGGAGCATGGACACGGGGTCGTCCCTCAGTTACTAAAAACAACAGACATAGCCCCACTCCACAAAAGGGCAGTAAAGCAACAGCAAAGAACTACAGACCAATAGCACTAACATCCCATATCATAAAAATCTTTGAAAGGGTCCTAAGAAGCAAGATCACCACCCATCTAGAAACCCATCAGTTACACAACCCAGGGCAACAAAGGGTTTAGAACAGGTCGCTCCTGTCTGTCTCAACTACTGGATCACTACGACAAGGTCCTAAATGCACTAGAAGACAAAAGAATGCAGATGTAATATATACAGACTTTGCAAAAGCCTTCGACAAGTGTGACCATGGCGTAATAGCGCACAAAATGCGCGCTAAAGGAATAACAGGAAAAGTCGGTCGATGGATCTATAATTTCCTCACTAACAGAACACAGAGAGTAGTCGTCAACAGAGTAAAGTCCGAGGCAGCTACGGTGACAAGCTCTGTCCCACAAGGCACAGTACTAGCTCCATCTTGTTCCTCATCCTCATATCCGACATAGACAAGGATGTCAGCCACAGCACCGTGTCTTCCTTTGCAGATGACACCCGAATCTGCATGACAGTGTCTTCCATTGCAGACACTGCAAGGCTCCAGGCGGACATCAACCAAATCTTTCAGTGGGCTGCAGAAAACAATATGAAGTTCAACGATGAGAAATTTCAATTACTCAGATATGGTAAACATGAGGAAATTAAATCTTCATCAGAGTACAAAACAAATTCTGGCCACAAAATAGAGCGAAACACCAACGTCAAAGACCTAGGAGTGATTATGTCGGAGGATCTCACCTTCAAGGACCATAACATTGTATCAATCGCATCTGCTAGAAAAATGACAGGATGGATAATGAGAACCTTCAAAACTAGGGAGGCCAAGCCCATGATGACACTCTTCAGGTCACTTGTTCTATCTAGGCTGGAATATTGCTGCACTCTAACAGCACCTTTCAAGGCAGGTGAAATTGCCGACCTAGAAAATGTACAGAGAACTTTCACGGCGCGCATAACGGAGATAAAACACCTCAATTACTGGGAGCGCTTGAGGTTTCTAAACCTGTATTCCCTGGAACGCAGGAGGGAGAGATACATGATTATATACACCTGGAAAATCCTAGAGGGACTAGTACCAAACTTGCACACGAAAATCACTCACTACGAAAGCAAAAGACTTGGCAGACGATGCACCATCCCCCCAATGAAAAGCAGGGGTGTCACTAGCACGTTAAGAGACCATACAATAAGTGTCAGGGGCCCGAGACTGTTCAACTGCCTCCCAGCACACATAAGGGGGATTACCAACAGACCCCTGGCAGTCTTCAAGCTGGCACTGGACAAGCACCTAAAGACAGTTCCTGATCAGCCGGGCTGTGGCTCGTACGTTGGTTTGCGTGCAGCCAGCAGCAACAGCCTGGTTGATCAGGCGCTGATCCACCAGGAGGCCTGGTCACAGACCGGGCCGCGGGGGCGTTGACCCCCGAAACTCTCTCCAGGTAAACTCCAGATCTCTACACATATGTTGTTATGTATTTATGTTATGTATCGTGTTTATTATATAATTTTGAAAAAAATATCACGGATGGATTAATGAAAATGTGTATATTAACGTAATATACAACATTTAATGATACACCGAGCTCAGACAGCGTAAACAAACAAACAAACTGAACAGGTTGTGGACGATCACTCGGTCAGGCGAAATAGACGGTATTAATACGTGTCCAGTTTTTAGTTCATTCATGTACATTTGTAAGAGTTTTGTGAAACTTTTACCTTATAATATTTTTATTATTATTATAATAATTAAATCACGAAACAAATACTCTTACACTGTGTACAAGTTAGTACAGAATTATAGCTATAAAGTGAAGGCATACGAAAGGAATATTTTTCTACAGTTTATGCCTAGTAACAGGTGACGGGCTAGAGAAAACGTAATTCTTCCGACACTTCTACAAACCGTTTGGTAAACATCTCATATATATTTGTATAAATTTTTATACTGTGGGTGCATGTATCATGTTTGTGTGTTACATAATGTGTTTCTTATATAATTTTGAAAAAAATATCATAGATAGATTAAGGGAAATGTCTATATTAACGTAATATGCGACATTAATGCGCCCAAGAGATTATTATTATTACTATTATTATTATTATTATTATTATTATTATTATTATTATTATTGCATCAAGAGTAGAGAGAGACTTAGTGATTTTAATATGTACCTACATGCCAGCACAGTGTGTTAAGTTTATTTAGGTACAGGTGTACACAAGTTTAATTATCAAGTACAATACATATAAAATATACAATAACTTTAAAACACTTGAAATTTTGGAGTTTCCAGACATAATAAGATGTGCTCAGGGAGAATGTAAACAAACTCGGTGGGCCGCTGTGACCGTATTAGAAAGACAGGTGGGGGGAGCCGTATAGCGAGTTATGGTCATAATTTGAAATGTCCGTATTAGCGGAATGCCGTAAAGCGAAACGCCATAAAGCAGGGCCCTGCTGTATGTACATTGCACCTAACTTTGGTCTCACAGGCCACATGAGTTATGTGAAAAAATAAAACAGTGAAAAAAACAAAAAACCTTCAAATACAAGTAAACTAAAGTTTACCGGTTGAGCGGCAGTCGCCGCTGTTGCCATACGCGGCTCATTTTCTGCAAACTTCACAGCTCTATATCTCGGCAAGTACTGATGGCAAAAAAAATTTTTTTTGGACTAAAACACTCAGAAAAATAATCTTAACATTTTCATAAGAAAAAATAATTTTTTTTTTTTTTCGAATATTTTGCGACATAAAGGCCTGCGACAGTCAAAGGGTTAATAACTCTCCTCACCTATTTTTAAATGCAGATCCATTTGTTCCCTAGGCTTCCTCAACTTACTAATCTCACTCCAAAACTTTTCTTATTTTCAACAAAATTTCTTGATAATATCTCACCCACTCTCTCATTTGCTCTCTTTTTACATTACTTCACCACTCTCTTAACCTCTCTTTTTCTCTCCACATACTCTTTCCTCCTTCCATTACTTCAACTTTGTAAAAACTTCTCATATGCTAACTTTTTCTTCCTTACTACTCTCTTTACATCCTAATTCCACTTTCCTGTAACCACAAACTTCTGCTGAACACTCTAATACTACGTTGTTGAATCTACCTCACACATCTTCACCCCCATTGTCTATAGTCTCATTAGCCCATCTATCCTTTAGTAATTGTTTATATCTTACCCTAACTGCCTCCATCTTAAGTTTATAAACCACCTCTCTCCTACTTGCTGCTTCTGTTTTCCTTGTATCCCACCTACCATTTACTATCACCATAGCTACATCTAAAAAATGATTTGATATATCTGTGGCCCCTCTATCAATATGTACATCATGAAGTCTACTCAACAGTCTTTTATCTACCAATACATAGTCCAACAGACTACTGTCGTTATGCCATACATCGTATCTTGTATACTTATCCTCTTTTTCTTAAAATTCTATATTACCTATAACCAAACCCTTTTCTATACAAAATTCAATCAAAGGGTCCCCATTATCATTTACATCTGGCACCCCAAACTTACCTACCACACCCTCTCTAAATGTTTCTCTTACTTTAGCATTTAGGTCCCCTACCACAATCACTCTCTCACTTGGTTCAAAAGTTCTTACACACTCGCTTAGCATCTCCCAAAATCTGTCTCCTCTACACTCTTCTCCAGGTGCATACAGGCTTATTATCACCCACTTTTTGCATCCAACCCTTATTTTAATCCACATAGCTCTTGAATTTATACTTTTATATTCCCTCTTCTCCTTCCATAACTGATCCTTCAACATTATTGCTACCCCTTCCTTAGCTCTAACCCTCTCAGATACTCCTGACGTAATCTCATTTATTTCTCCCCACTGAAACTCGCCTGTCCCCTTCAGCTTTGTTTCGCTTAGAGCTAGGACATCCAGCTTCTTTTCATTCATAACATTAGCAATCATCTCTTTCTTATCATGTGCACTGCATTCACACACACTCAAGCATTCCAGTTTTATTGTTTTTCTTTTTTTTTTTTTTTTTTTTAGTATATTTTCTACAGTAGAAGGGGTTACTAACCCATTGCTCCTGGCATTTTAGTCACCTCATATGACACACGTGGCTTACGGAGAAAAGATTCTTTTCCACTTCCCCATGGAGAATAGAAGAAATAAAGAACAAGTACTATTAAGAAAAAGAAGAAAAACCTAGATGTGTGTATGTATGTATGCGTGTGTATGCCTGTGTAGTGTGACCTAAGTGTAAGTAGAAGTAGCAAGATATACTGTTATCCAGCATGTTTATGAGACAGAAAAAAGAAACACCAGCAGTCGTACCATCATGTAAAACAGTTACAGGTTTCTGTTTCACACTCATTCGGCAGGATGGTAGTACCTCCCTGGGTGCTTGCTGTATACCAACTATTAGCACATGTCTTCACATTCTGCTGTTCTTACTCATATTTTTACTCTTTCAGGAAGCTGATACTAATGAGGACTATAAGATCGACTTAAACAATGATGATGATATGATCGACGTGAAAGAAGGTACGTTGGTTTTGACATGTTAGAAATATAAGCTCTCTCATAAAGCTCCCCTATATTGTCTGATTTTTTTTTTTTTTTGTAAATGCCATTGAAAAAGTACATTCCAAAATTGAGTAATGGTTGGAATGGCCTTTGTAATATTCAATGTTCAATTTTGCATGCTCTTTTTCAATCATGTTTACAAAAAATCACACTATATGCAGGAGCAGTACAAGAGTGCTGTAATTATTGAGATATGAAATTTCAGATTCTGATACTTTAGAGAATAAAAAAATCATTGTGACACTAGGTTGTTGATATGGTTTTCATTTTGTACTTTAATGTTTTTCTTTGAAAATTATTTCTTTGTTTTTCCATAGATTTTCACAGTAGACTAAACAGCATTGATCATTAGTTCAGGGCCCCTCCAGCTCTGATGAATCTGAACTTTTGGTAGAGAAGAAATTGAGATGATATGAAATAACATTAATGATAGAGTAAGCTCTCTTGTTATGAAAGCGGTACAGTAGACCGTTATATTACTCGGTAATTACGTTTCTGAAAACGCTATGTTAGGTAAATCTGTGTTAAACTGAAGCACTTATGGGAAAAATAGAGTTATGTTCCTGGGAACCCAAAATAAGCCAGGTCTTACAAAAATAAAAGTGTATATGTAATTGTAATTCATTGTCGTGATGTGTTATGTTGTTTTTAATGCTTAAGACTACAACTGCAACAGAAATAATAGTACAGTGGACCCCCGGCTTACGATATTATTTCATTCCAGAAGTATGTTCAGGTGCCATTACTGAACGAATTTGTTCCCATAAAGAATATTGTGAATTAGATTAGTCCATTTCAGACCCCCAAACATACACGTACAAACGCACTTACATAAATACACTTACATAATTGGTCGCATTGGGAGCTGATCGTAAAGCGGGGGTCCACTGTACAGTGTATTTATGTAAGTGCGTTTGTATGTGTATGTTTGGGGATCTGAAATGGACTAATCTACATCACAATATTCCTTATGGGAACAAATTCGGTCAGTACTGGCACCTGAACATACTTCTGGAATGAAAAAATATCGTTAACCGGGGGTCCACTGTATTTCTTACCTTAAATTGTGGGTGCTGGTGTTTGTCGATGACTGCGAAGAGGGTGGAGAGTTATGCTGTAGGCCTACTGGGCTGAGGTGGTTGGTGGAGGTTCTGGTTCTGAAGTTGATGGTTGTACTGGAGTGTGCAGGAATTCTGTAATAGATTTCTGTTTTATTTTACCCTGCAGTACATTGACGGTAATGCATCAGCTGTTCTAGACACTGTTTCAGAGCACTGTTTCTAGATTTGTCAGGGTCCTCTTCAGTGAAAAAGTCTAACTTTAAGTCAGTCAGTATATCAGTCAAGTCAGTCAGTAAAGTAAATCTGTCAGAAAGTCAGTCGAGTCAGTTGGACAAGTAAGTAAACTCAGTAAATCAGTCAAGTAAACCAGTAAATATGTCAGTCAAGTAAGTCAGTCATGTAAGTCTGTCAGTCAAATAAGCCAGTCAGTTAAGTAAGTCAGTCAGTCCAGTAAGACAAGTCAGTTATTCATCACACAAGCTCGTATATTTACCTCAGTCTTTTTAATTGTACAAAGTGATGCTTCATTGAGGCCATAGGCTATCTCTTGTCTAATATCTCTATTTTCTTTGTAACTCTAAGACTTAAACTCTTATACCTTTTCTTACCAATTTCAGCAACACTTGTATGCCTGCTGGGTGCCATGATTGCTTGGTAAATATAAGATATGTCAATTAAAAGATCAAAACACAATTCACAAACACAGCTAGCTCCTGAGACACTGGAACTGAACACGTATTCACGAAGGCTGGGATATTGGTGGTGGGAGTGTTGGGGTGTGACAGGGGATGGTGGTAGGTCTTCCCTCCATGCTGACCCACAACAAGGCAGCAGCTTGAGCTAATGCTAAAGCATCAGCTGCTCTGGCACTGCTTCTAGATTTCTCAGGGTCCTCTTCAGTGAAAATGTCTAACTTTAAATCAGACAGTAAATCAGTCAAGCCAGTCAATCAAGTAAGTCAGTCAGTAAGTCAGTCAGGTTAGTCAGTAAAGTCAGTCAGTCAAATCAGTCAAGTAAGTCAGTCAGTCATCACGCAAACTCGTATATTTAGCTCATTCTTTTTAACCCTTTGACTGTCGCAAGCCCATTTCTGAAACTCTCATTCTATGTCGTAGAATTTTTGGGAAAAAATAATTATTTTTTCTTATAAAATGATAGAGGATGTTTTCCCGATGCTAATGACACCAAAAGTACGAAATTTGATCAAAAACTTACGGAATTATGCTCCCGCGAAGTTAGCGATCTTGACGATATACGTATACACATCAGCGATTTTGCCGACTTTGAGCCCTGTTTTCAGCCAATTCCATTGTTCCATTCGACGAAACTCATAGCTATTTCTTCAGAACTCCATTTTTTTCTATCAATTGAATACAAGAAACTGCTCATTTACCTTTTTTAACCCTTTCAGGGTCCAAGGCCCAAATCTGGAGTCACGCACCAGTGTCCAAGAATTTTCAAAAAAAAAATTTGTTATTTTTTCTTATGAAATCGTAGAGAATCTTTTTGTGAAGGTAATAAAACAAAAAGTACGAAATTTGGTGGAAAATTGACGAAATTATGCTCTCACGAATTTTGATGTGTCAGCGATATTTACGAATCGGCGATTTTGCCGACTTTGACTCCCATTTTAGGCCAATTACATTATTCCAATCAACCAAATTTTTAGCTATTTCACTAGTATTACTTCTATTCTATCGATTGAGCACAAGAAATCGCCAAGTCAACTGTTTCAACTACAAAATAAAGTGATCGGAAATTGTTAATTTGGCCAATTTAACACAAAGTTCAAAATATTCCAATTTCAAAATAGGGTCCAGAATGAACAATGTAGGCATTCCTGGCACTAAACTAACATTTCCTCTGTTCATTAGTTATGTTTTGAGGCTTTACAAATAAATTCCATTTTGATTTTTTATTCACATAATGAATTTTTATTCACACCAAAAAATAGAAGATTTACTGTTATGCAATACTGTAATAATTGTATAAATATCATCACCATATTTGTGAATGTATATTAGACCCACCAGCTGACGTGTATTAGACGTGTGAGGTCGTTTGTTTACTCTTGAATATCGGCAAAAATTTAACATTTCCGCTACTTTGAGCTCAGTTTCAAGCCATTTCCAATGCTAAAACCAATCAAAATCATCTCTATTTCTGTAATATGTCTTCAATTCTATCAAATGAGACCAAGAAATCGCAAATACAACTATAAAAAACATACGAAAAAACACTGCAAAGTTGCTGTTTTAATCGAAAAATCATGATTTCATTTTTTTTCTCTCATTATACACAGTGTGCTGCAGGATCTGTTTTATGTGGTGCACACATACCACATAGATGTATTCTCTCATATCTATGCCCAAATGTACCACTCAGAGTTTATCAGAGTGAGCTGAGCTCATGGCGTAGATATACGGTTTGGACCCTGAACGTAAAGCCGTAGATCTACGGGACGGACCCTGAAAGGGTTAACTACCCATTAACCCTTTCAGGGTTTCCGATGTACTAGTACGGCTTACACTCCAGGGTTATTGACGTACTAGTGCACATAAATTCTAGCACCTTCAAATTGAGCAGGAGAGAGCTGATAAGCATATATGTGATAGAATGGGTCTATTTATATATTTATTTTATGTCTTTGCAAACAGTACATTGAGATTTTGTATTTACAATAGTGGGTTGCAATGCAAAGAGAACCTCTATTATGCCTAGGCATTATGGGCCAACTTAACATTATTGTCTTACAGTCTACTTAATACTAAGGAGTATATCATAGTTGTACAGTAGGATAGTAATTATTTCATAGTTGTACAGTAGATTATTAATTATAAATGAATCAAAATTTATATAATACAAAGATATATATATATATTCGAAAATGTTTTTTGTGAAAACAATGATTCAGTTATATTCCTGTCAACAATGGATAAAAGGTTCAAAGTGATTGTTGAAGTTGTGATGTGGGAGTACATAGGTGGGTAAGTGTGTACTGAGTATTTAGCATTTAGTCTAGGGTGATTAAGTGACTTTTGAGAAGAGTCTTAAATTGATTTTCAGACTGGGTTACTTTAATATCTTCTGGTAATGAATTCCATATTTTGGGGCCCTTTATGTGCATAGAGTTTTTACAGTGTGATATGGACACGAGGTATATCAAAAAGAGATCTGTGTCTTGTGTTGTGGTCATGTGTCCTGTTTATGTTGGTGAGAAGTTTGAGTGGAGGGTTTATATTTGTGTGTATTGTTCTGTGTATGTAGTAGGCACATGAATAAGTATGGATGTTATTAATGGTGAGCAGATTCAGACTTGAAAATTGGTGGAGTATGCTGGCGGGAGTGGGAATTTGTTATCATTCTTACTGTTGCCTTTTGCTGGGTTATTATGAGTTTTAGGTGATTGGATGTTGTTGATCCTCTTGAACAAATTCCATATGTAAGATAAGGGTATATGAGTGAATGGTATATGAATGTGGTAAGTGTGCACAGTAGGAAAAAATTATGAACCCGCTTTGCATTATGGGAGTGGTAATTCAGAGCACTTTTGCAACTAAGCCAAGCTAAGGAATACCTCACTCTCCAGCAGTCTGAGTGGTGGAGATAGGCAGTAAGGGGGTGGGAGGCAGTGGGGGTAGTAGGGAAGTGAGCTGGCTGGCTAACTGGCTGGCTAACTGGGTGGCTGGCTAAGTGGGTGGCTGGCTAACTGGCTGGCTGGGTGTGTGTGTGTGTGTGTGTGTGTGTGTGTGTGTGTGTGTGTGTGTGTGTGTGTGTGTGTGTGTGTGTGTGTGTGTGTGTGTGTGTGTGTGTGCGCATGTGTGTGTGCATGCCTCTCTCTCTGTCAGTCAGTCAGTTAGTCAGTCACAGGTACACATAAATACAATTATACATAGT